AGGAGGACTATGCAGGACTATGCATGACGTGCGACAACGACAGTCGACGCCTATTATAATCAGGACCCCGCTGGATGGCGCTCGTGATCTTTTCTCGGCCTCCCGCAGGGCGTCGCATCACTTTGCCATTTACGCCACCAGCGGGGCCCCCGAAACTGGGCAAAACCAGACGAGTTAGTAAGCGAATTGTGAGATCTCTGCATCACGGACATGCTGCGGGGGCCCCCCCACGTGCGGGTATAAACCTCGGGCGATCCTCGCGAGATTTTGCGCACCCTTGGGGGAGGCCCTGCATCTTTCAACCAACCACCTTGGGTCGGACGTGGCGGTCTTGCCACGCACTGTGCAAAACGTTAAACCAAAACGGCCCCAGAAGGAAAGCTTGTGGCTCGCACACAGCAACTTCCCCGCGACAGTCTGTGGGCCGTGGAGCGGTGAGATGCCCTGGCCACGGGGCTTGGGGCAACACCTAGAGAGGCACCCAGAGCGAATGGACTCCCTGGTCTCGAATTGGGAGCAAACCGAACAGAAAAACTTAGAACCCACCTTCCGCCACTGATGCTCGCTGGCACGAAGACTCCTGGTCAGGATGGGGAGCCGCAGGACCCCTGGGGCCACAGGTCGAGACGCGGTCCACGGATCGGCCAGGATGCTCGCGACAAGAGCTCTCCGAGCTCGACGTCTGGCCAGGGCAGCCTCGGCATCGCGGCGGTCGGTGTCGGGATTCGTGAGGCCGCAGCGCCTGCTCGCTTGGGCGCCTAGGCCCGCGAGTGCGTCAGCACACGCGTTGCCAACGGCATATCGAAACGCTTCCTCGGAATTCACATCCCTCGCCTCGACATGGGCGGGGATCCAAACCACACGAATTACTCTGTCTCCAGCTGCCTCCAGGATCCCGGTCCAAAGGTCGAAGTTCGCAGGAGGGGTCGAGGAAGCGAGGAGAAGCGGGACTCCTTTGGACCATGCCTGGGCCAGGGCCAGGTGGTCCGTCATATATCGGATGTTCCCTGGAATCTGTTCTAGGGCGGCGAGACAGGCAGATAGCTCGGCCCTCGGGACCGTCTGGACCCTCCCACCAAGGGAAGACGAAAAACCGAAAATCGGGTCCAGGCAGCCAGGGGAAAGGGAAACAAATCCGAATCCAGCGCGTCTGCGGCGCCAGTCACTGCTATGCTCACCGCCCGACCCATCTCCAAAGATCTCAGCAAACCCCTCCTCATCACGTGGGATTGTCGAACGATCTCCGAAGCTGTTCGTGATGGGTGGGGTCTCGTCAAAGACAGGCATGGTGTCGGCAGCCGCAGGGACGCCTCGAAGCCAGAGGGACGGGGAGGCCTCGTAGTTGGCGAACGCCTGTGCGGTGAGGAATTCGCTGTCCGTGTAGTCGTCGTGGTCGCAGTTGGCAGCACATGTCCATATTCTGTGGAAGAGCGACTCATCCTGTTCTCCACACCTCGGGCATGTGGGGGAGACTTCGTATCCTGCGGCCACCATTCGAGTACGTGTACACTGGCCGCCTGTCGTGACCACCGTGTTGAGTGCGATATCGCTGTACTGCTCCCTCCTGGCGAGTCGGCGGTTCTCCTGCTTGATCGTGCTGAAGTCGCCTCCACTGTGTAGGTCATCACCTGCTTCGTGCTTCGAAGCCCGAGTCCAGAGAACTCTGTCCACTGAGCTGCTGATGTCGTTGAAGATCTCCGAGTAGTCCGCATTCAGCTTCTTGAAGTCCTCGTTTTCTCTTGCAGGAATGAGCCAGCTCTTACCTGCGTCCGTGTCCCACTGGGTCGCCGCGATCGGGTCCCAGTTGATCTCGAGGGGGGTGGCAATAGTTGCCCCCACTGGACCACGGACGATCCTCCACTTGCGTTGGCCAGCCTTGCGTATGCGGTCGAGGATCTTGTCCCAGGATTGCCGAATCCTGTCGTGGATGCCTGGGCACTGGCGCCACGTGGTCAGCCACGCTGCGATCTGCTGACGCCTGATGCGCTTGGCAGGGTCGTCGTCCCCGTACTCGATGGCCAGCGCCGACGTCAAGCATCTTCCTGGTCCCACGCCAGACGCGGCTGCAGCAGCTTGGCGTCGGAGGCGCAGCACGTCATATTCAGGGAGCCCGTGATGCTGATGTGAGTAAGTCCCAGACGGCATGGCACCTGTACTCCATAGACCTTGCGATTCTCTCTTTAATCGGGCGATTCTCCTGATTCTGTGAATGGCTGCCGACCGTCTGCAAGCCTTCATCATTCTCCTTCGTGCTGTGGCCCTGGCGCGAGCCCGTCCTGAGGCGACGTCGGCCCCCAAGTCTGTGGCAGCCTGGGCCGAGGTTGCCCGAATGCCCTTTCTCCGAAGTGCTCGGGCCACTTTGTTGGCGATACTGCTCGTGCTGGCGACAACGACTGTCTTGGGGCTGATCGTGGGGCCCTCGTGTTGCATGTCGTGGCCGATGGAGGCGCCAGCTTGGACCAATGTGGTCTCGACGTTGTAGGCCGTGCCCTCGCTGCGAATGATCGTGTCGTCCACGAAAGTCTTCATCATGATGTTGAACTGGTACTTGTCATGAGCCCGCTGGAGGATAGAGCCCAATAATACCTTTGCTAATTTGCCGCCGTGTGGAGAACCTGCCACCAGTGACTTCTCGATCTTGATCGGCCTGCTGATCCACTGGCGCTCCTTGAGGTACCTGGGGGCAAGGAATATCTGAAGTTTCATCGCGAGGATGACTGCGGGGAAGCCCTGCCTGAGTCCAGCTTGGCAGAGCTTCGTGATGGAGATGCTGTCGTAGAACTTCTCCAAATCTAGAAGGATGGTCGCACAACTGGTGCCCATGGTGAAGCAGCACTCGTCCATGCAGGCTCTCGCCAGCGAGGCTTGCAGCGGGCTGCTCCCTTTGATAGCCGTGTCCCAGAATTCGCCAAGCTTGCCGCTCCACCTCTCGCTCAACGGGTAGCGGAGCTTGGACCAAACCTTCGCCGTATATGGAAGCAATCCCCGGATCCTGTCGCCTCCCTTGGGCTTGGGGGCGACCGCACCTATGACCGTGAAAATCTGATGGGGCCACATGAGGTGGTGCTCGCAAAGATTGAGGACCTCCACCATCTGCCTACGTCCTGGCTCTGGGAGTCGTTGCACCTCCAGCGGGCCGAGGTTGTCGATTCCTCTGGCCTTCTTCGGGTTCTGCTTCGCCAGCAAGTGGTCCAGGTGATCCAGCTCGATCGGATGCACGTCCTCCCTCTTGGCTTGCTCCGTGACATACTTGAGGCCATCGAGGACACTCCTGTGGTCGGAGCTAGGGTCGGACCAGATGTTCTCCCAGAAGTCGGCTCTGCGATCCATGATCTCGCACGGTGTGGCGTAGGTGCTGCCCTCGTCACCGAAGTGCTCGTCTCGTCGAGTGGTAGCTGGCTTCACATGTCGGTGTAACGCACCTGGAGCCTGCTTCCACATGCGTGTGACCCAGCTAGCAAAAGCCCGCCTGCCGTTGGCGAGTCCAGTACCCACAGCACGGGCTTGAAACCTCAGGCCGGACTCTAGGAGGGCCTGCAGCGAGTCGATGTTCTGTCCGTCTAAGTCGGCGATGGCCTTGGTCCAGTCCTCAAGGGCCCTCTTGTCATCTGGGTCGTTGTACTTGTCGAGGAAGTTGTTCTCGGTGGCAATGTGTAGCAGCTCCTGCATTTTTATTGCCATGCGCTTGTAGTCCTGCTCTGCGAACTTGCGCCTCATTAACTGATATCTGGATATGATCGTCGTTGCCAGACGCCACCATTCCATGATCGGGCCCCGCATATGTGCACGGGCTGGTGTGGCACGGGTCCTTCGCCAAGTGATCCCATGCTCCCTGGCTCTGCCTTCGTACTTTTTCCAATCGGACTCGGGAATGTTGTGGTGCTTAAGCGTGGCCTTCTCAACTGTCTGCACCCAGTCGCCGAACGCCTTGGCGACCTTCTTCTGCGCCTCAGTGTCACGGGTCAGCAGGAAGTGGGAGGAGGGGGAGTTGTCCTGGTCGGCGTTCGAATCCTTCCTGACGTGTTTGCCCTTGTCCTCTCCCAGTCTTGCCACCGTGGCGGCTGCCGAGTGCCACGCCTCAATCGGCATGTCGAAGGTGACCGAGTCGTTGCTGTGTATGTCCTCCGTGATCGGCCAGTTGTGGGGCTCTTCGTAGGCGTCCTGTAGCTCCTCCTGGAATCTGGCCTTTGCCCGCTGGTGCCGCTCGGCTAGCAACTTCTGGCGCTTGCTGTTCGGGTCCGCTTTCTTGGCTGGTCGTCCCGCCGACGGGAGCTGCTTGGGTATACACATTGCTCTATGCCACCAGTGCTGCTTCCCCGCACGCATGGAAAGCAGTAAGCCCACGTGGGCCTTCCAGGGGACCTCGGGAACGGCTTCGAGCTTGAGGGGGCCGCCGAACCCGCTCTTGCAGATCCCGTAGTCAATGAGGGACCCGCGCCCCAAGTTGCACGTGGTCTTCGTGTTCTCTGGGAGGATAAGCCGGCCGCCGATCTTGCGCAACCACTTGGTTCCATCCCATGCCTCTTGTGGGTTGTTCCAATCGGCGAGGACAACCCACGGGTCGGATATCATATTGATGAAGCTGGCTAACCTGATCATCATCTTCTCGTTGGGGCCCTTGAAGCCGTGCTTCGGCTGCATGTACGCGGAGATGACGACAATGTTGCCAGCCTTCGTGTGCCGCGTCGTGGGGCAGAATCCTTGGAAGGGGTCGACTGCGGACCGTTCGATCTCGTGCTTGCGCCACCCCTCGAACGCCGCGGTGGCCAGTGAACGCTTGGATATGATAGCTTCGCCGCCCGTCGTGCCTTCAGCAGCTCTGCCCGACGGTGCTGCGGCGGTGACGGCGGCCTTCCAGCCGTCTTTGCTGATCTTCTCTGTGAAGTCCAGGACCTTCACGCCTCGCAGGTGCATCTCCGCGAAGCCTATGACATCGTACTGCTCCGCCTGGGCTTTCATGAATCCCTCCGCCCGCGGGCCCCACTCCGAGATGTTCGAGAAGAAGTACGTCGCATCGTAGTTCTCTGGAACGGGGGCACGAGTGCACGACAGGCCGTCTGGTGGGAGGGGCGGCTGAAGGGTGTCACCTGGCCTCGGGTGGCCTCCTCCTCCCAGGCCGATGGGTAGGTCACCCTCGCTGCGCGGCCGCAGCTGCAGCTCTGGGCGCGCCGTCACGAGAGCTCCTAGCACCATTGCCAGTGCCCAGGGGAGGGAAGTCGCCCATGTTGGCCAGCGTGGCCTCCCTGGCGCTCGCGATCTTGGCGGCGATGTCGCTCTCTGAGACGGCGATGGTGGGGCCGTCCTCCGCAGCAGGTGCCTGGTCTTCGTCAGGGCCTTCAGCTTCTGCTGCGCCAGGACCAGGGACGGGGCCGTCCTGACCACGCTGCCGTTTCGCTGGGGCTGCGCGGATCTCCTTGACGCTCTTGAGCGCCTCCTGCATCGTCTTCTGGAGGTCCTCCACCTTCTTGCAGTGCTCCTCCACCTGCTTCTGGATGGCCTTGAGCTGGGCCTTCTGCGCGTCATCGAACTCGTCGCTGGTAGCGAAGTCGAACTCATCCATCGCGAGGTATATCTTCTTGCCGTCCGCAGCGTAGCCGTCCTGCGTCTTGGCGGCGCCCGTGGAGTCTGCGAGGGCCTTGACCGCCAAAGTGTGGGCCCGTTTTGCGGAGAGGGCCTCCTCCGCCGTCTGGTGGAGCCACAGCTTGGCCTCCTGGAGAGCCGTCTCGAGCTTGATGACGTCTGCCGGGGCCTTCTGAAGCGCCACCTCCTTCTTCTCCAGGGTCTGGCTGCAGCGGTAGACCTCCTGGTTGGGCGATACTGGCTTTGCCTTGCTCGCCTTGAAGGAGGTGTCAGCCTGGCGGAACACGTCGGCGTGCTCTGCGAGGGCGGGGACATTCGAGAGGATGTTGAGCATCTGCGAGATGTCGGGCTCCTTGGACCACGGGTGCGTGCCTTTGCCGCTGCCGTAGTACCACGCCGACTTGTCCTCGCCCTTGCCGCCCTTGTAGCTGTGGATGCCTTTCTTACCTTTGCCGTTGCCTTTCGCCGCTGCAGCGTCAGGCTTGAAGAGTGTGACCTGCTCCCCGCACTTGCCACAGAATCCGCCGTTGTGCAGCAGGCGGAAGTTGTATGTCCAGTTGCCGCAGGTACACCAAGAGAATGGGCGCGGCGCCATGACTGCTTGACAGGTCGATAGGGAGCTCTAACCCCAGCTGCGCTGACAGCTGAGCGGTGCGATTCTCCCGAAATCACCGAGAACACAGTGCTGCTCTGGCAGCTCAGATTTTGGCACGGAGGCGCGGAGCCCCCGAGTGCGGGCATCTTGAGCCAAAATGGCTACGGAGAGGCGGAGGAGGAGGAGGAGGAGGAGGAGGAGGAGAAGGAGGAGGAGGAGGAGGAGGAGGGGGGAGATTACGAGGAGAATGAGGAGAAGGACGAGGCGGAGGATGATGCTGATGATGATGATGATGAGGAGGAGGAGGAGGAGGAAGAGGAGGAGGAGGTGGTGGAGGTGGAGGATGAGACGGAAGGGAGAGGAGGGCGAGGCGGACAAAGAGGAGGAGGAGGGATAACGCCGAGGAGGAGATTCTGGAGATTCTGCATGATCGCGTAGCGATTGGATGAAATTAAAGATCCGCTACCCTCCGTGGGGTGCGTTGGTCTCTGGCTTCGCGCTCAGCTCGACTGAGGGCCTTAAGCCAGAGTCCCTTGGCGATTCTCCGCAGGTATGCAACGCCTGTCGGTGTCGGGGCCTCGCACCGACCCCCGAGTTTCCCGAGAAGCTGGTTTGCGTAGGACCCGCAGACGGAACAAAACCAAAGATTCAGCCCAGCGTGGAACCTTAAAGTGTGGGTCAGGTCAACATATCCCCCTGCGACGTGTACCTGTTTCCCAAGAGGAGCCATCATATAGGTGCCATCGACATTACATAGATCGAAGCATTCACTTGCTAGCCACTGGGCCCTTGAGGCCAGCGTGGTAGTGGTCCTACAACGGGTGCACTTGGATCCACAAGAGGCTACCGAGTGCTGGGACTGGAACAGGGCACAAACGCGGGGGGCGGGTGGCCTCTGCGGGGCCACGCCTCTCTGCCTCTTTGGGCGAAATTCCCCAGAGGATTGCTCGATATTCCTAGCATGCTCAAGCGCTTCGAGAGATGTGCGGAGCAATCTCATGCGAACTAGAAATGCCTTTTGCTCAATCAATGCGTATTGCTGCCTGTCAGAAGTTGGGATCCGGGCTGCCTGTGCTGCGCCTCCTGCGATCTCGTCCGCCACTGTGTTGCCGTAGGCGAGGGTGGCGGGGATCTTGCCCTGAAAGACATCATGGGCACTCATGTGCGAGGGGATCCATAAGATGGTGAGGGAGCCGCGGCGAGATGAGATGTTGCGTCCTAGTCGTGCCCACAGGTCAGCGTCGGGTCCGACAGGATTGTCCGTGTGTCCAATGTGGTAGTTGTTGTAGCAGCCCTCACTGTCAGTGAAGTAGACGAGGTCGTCGGTGATTCTCTCAGCGGCCACTACGAGGGCCATGAGTTCACCACGGATGACGGTCTGTCGGCTGCCCGCGAGGGGCCCCCAAGTTGCGCCCCGTAGCGGCATGTCGTACTTGTTGAGGTCGGCGAAGCAGGCGACACCTATGCCGATCCTCCTCAGGGGAGTGACAGCAGTGTCGGGGCCGCCACTGGCACCGCCGACGGCGTATGTCGGGCGTCCTCCTACGTGATCCATGCATCCGTCATTGTGGTCGTTGCAGTTGAAATGTTCCCATTGGTCGCGCTGTGGTGGTGGCGGGAGAGCTGTCCACTGCGCAGGTAGTAGGCCTCGCGTCCAGAAGCACTCGAACATGGCCCGTTGGGAGGCAGCCTCTGCACACAGTGTGTTGGAGGCGAGTATGATGTTGTTGGTGCTGTTGCCCTCGCACTCCCAGCAGCGGTGGTCGTCATCCTCGTCACTGGTGCCGCATCGTGGGCATGTAGTGGGAGTGGTGGTAGATGTTTCAGCGGCGACCCTGGTGCGTGTCCACATGGCACCTACTGCGATGGTGAGCATGAGGCTCGCGAGACGTGCGCCGTCTGCGAGACTCTCGAGGTACCGAAGAAGCCTGCGGTAGGAGTAGTTGTCGATCCCCTGCTGCATGCCTTCTCCGCCGTGGTGGGTACTGGCCCGCTGCCATTGTTGGTGCTGGGTGCTGGCGTCGAGGTCATGAAGTAGTTGATGCGGGATGTCGGCGTCGGGGTGTCCCGTGAGCTGCTGGGCGTCGAACTCCCAGGTGTCTCCGCAGTCGGAGAGTGCTGGTGGGAGGCGCCATTTGTTGGGCTCCAGAGGCTCCCAGTCGTGCTGCATGAGGTAGTGGATGATGGTAGACTGTGGCCCACGTATGTGTCGTACTCGTACATGCGGCGGCATGGTCTTGAAATTGGCGACGACGGTCTTCCAGGTGGCTTGGATAACACGTTGGAGGGGCCCTCCTTGTATCCAGGTGGTGAGCCATGCCTTGGGTGCGTCGTGTGGTAGTTTGCGGGCTGGGTCGTGGGCGCGTAGGTCGAGGAGGGTAGTGAGGCACCGTCCACGTAGGCGGGGTCCCACTGCGTCACCGACGCGTCGGCGGTAGGTGGTCATAGTCGTGCCGAATGCGCCGTAGACTTGGTGTCCGTAGGTGACTGCGGGCATCCCTCCTTGTACGGCGAGCTTAGATGAAATACGATACCGCCGTGTCGCACGTGTGAAGCGAAGTATCTTCTGGTGCATGGCGTCGTGCTTGCGGCGTCGCTGAGTGGTGGTGCGTCGTGCATGTCGTATACCGCAGCCGAGGCCGATGCCGAGGTAGCTGGCCTGGGTGTTGGCGCGGATGGGGAAACCCTTCCTTCTCATAGCATTCGCAATGTACCTGGCGTCGTCGTGGTGTGTGCAGACGATGACGCTCTTCTTAGCAACATGTAGGCCCTGGTCCTGGAGCGCCGTGCAAGTGTCGGCGAGGCAAGCCACCATGCGGCGTCGTAAAGCACGTCGGCTGGCTTGCAGGCGCTGCGACAGGTCATCGACCCAAATGCGATGCTGGAGGTCAGGGTAGTGATGGGCGATGCGCTGGAGTGCCTTGTAGGTCATGATCTTGGCGAACCGTGTGCCAGAACGTAGTCCCTGTGCGACAGAGCGCGTGGGATGGAGTGCTTCCGCGTACGCACCGCTCTGCATGAGCGTGCGGGGGGCGGTGCACTGCAAGATCTCGAGTCCGAGGACTTCAGGTGGGAAGTTGAGGTCGAGCGCGTCGTCGATGAGGGTGACCCAGTGGATGGAGTCGTAGAACTGGGCAATGTCGAGCAGCCCGTGCGCCTGCGGGATGCGGAGGTAGGTCGAAAGCTCCTCGTGCAGGCACCTTTCGTACGCCTCGCGGAAAGCCGAGTTGCCCTTGGCTATGGCATCCCAGTGTGCAAAGTAATCTCGATTCCATCGTTGTACATGTTCTTCTCGTGCCATGGACCACAATCGTGCAACCATCGTCATGAGGCCGAGAATGCGGTCGTCGTTGTCCTTCTTGGCCCGCATGACGCCGATGGTGTGCAGGAGTTGGTGTGGCCAGGCTTGGAGTCGTTCCGATGTTGTAAGTAGGTCGGCTAATTCCTGGAGTGCCTCTTGGGGAAGCCGCTGGAAATCGCCAGGTCGTAGGCGGTCGGCACCGAGCGCCGTGTTGGCCTTGAGGCGGGAGGCGGCCCGTCGGAGGTCGTCCGCGGTGAGCGTAGGGAGTGGGCACTCCTGGACGCGGTCGACGATGCGTTGGAAGGCGGCATCCAGGCTGTGGTAGTCGACGTCGTGGGGGGCCCACAGGTCGGTCCAGGTCTGGATCTTCTGGTCAATGAGCTCCTTGGGGTGCATGATGGTGCAGCCGTCGGACAGTGTAACCTCTGCTGGTTGTGGTTGGGGTCGTAGGGAGCGATGAAGTGTTCCCAGGGCCTCGGGCGTGGTTGCCCACTCGCTGAATGCACGGACGGACTTGCGGATCGCCCGTTGTTGGGCTCGTTTGGCAAGTCGGTTGGCTCTGGTTGCGTGTGCCACGATGTAGCCGTCGTCGGCGAGCTCGATCTGCTGCAAGAAATGAATCCACTGATCCCAAGTGCGGTCGTCTTTGATTGTGACGATGCTGGCTGCAGCTGGAGGTGGTGTGTCAGCGAGGCGCCGTAGGTCCCGATACAGCTGCTGGAGCTGCAGATGGCCGTTTCTGCGAGCTCGATGTCTGTACGTATTCTGGAGTAGCGTGTGTACCCGCGTCCACCAGTTGCGCGAGAAGTCGGCAAGAGGCGCTCTCCTCTTGCACTGCAGCTCGCGGACAACCGTGATCTGGTAGCTGGGTCCTGTGGCGCGGCTGGCGCCTGCGAAAGGCATCTGGTGGTGCGTGTGAAAGGTGGCCTCGACAGTCGCGGCCCAAGAGCCGTAGGTCCGCCCAAGCTGAAGGGTCAAATCAGGCTTGAGCCGAAAGGCTACGGAAGCAGTGGCCGCAGGGGCAGGCAGCGTGCAGCTGGCTGGCAGGGCGCTGATTTGTTCCCGATGGACGCTCCAGAGCAAACTAGGGATTTCAAAATCCACAGCGGTAGAACTAAACTCCCCAGATCCAGGGCACGGGCCATTAGAACCATGTTGGGGAAAATTCGTGTATTTGGGAAAACTGTCTGGCATGTTCTCCTCGGGTACGACAGGCACGTCAGGGGGGTTCTCACGCTGGGCTGGTGAAAAGGTCTCTGACTGTTGGGCTGAATCAACTGATGGGGCAACGGGAGCAGGGTCGCGGGCGGAGAGAGCAGCACACGGCCTGTCCTGGGCAGCGGGCATGTCTCTCGGGGCGACACCGCTAGAAATATGAGTCAAAGAAGCATCGGCTGTGTATTCTCCGTGGGCCGAAAGCCGCGGATCACAAAGATGAGCGGATGAGGCAACGGAGAGGGGCGAATCAGGCGAGCCGAGCGAGCACTGTTTTGTCTCCTCGCGAGCGGGGTTCGAGACAACAGACGGCACGGCTGGCCAAAAACTCGTCTCGTGCGCCCACGGGACTTCCTCTTCGGAAAGCTGAGCTGAGTCGACGTCATCGCCCTCGGATGTGGGGCTGTCGCCAGCACTGGTAGACTCGGCGTCGGCGTCTTGGCCTTCGCTGGTCCGTAAATCGGCAAAGAGAGTGGCATGGAGA